GTGGGGAGGCGAAAACGGTCTAGGAAAACTCGTCCTTCACGATGTGAGATCCATTTCTGTCCGTCGAGAGAGCGGAGAGAGAGTGTCATCTCTGGAACTGTGTCCGAAGACCTCTTATAGCGGTGGTGGTCCGGCGTTTACTGAAAGCGATCGTGATGGCGTGGACAGCAGCGGAGAAAGAGATGTGGATGTCGCACATCTTCCCCTTCTGGAAGAGCTGGGTCGTGATCCTCGTCCCTCTGCTGACTCTCCCTCTTCTCTTCGTCCCCGAACAGCGAGTGGTGAGTCTCTCTCCCCGCTCGATGGGATCTTTTAATTCACGGTGGATCGTTGGCGTCTACCCAAAACCAGTGCTAGGATGAACACAGTCTTCAAATTTGTGTTGAAGGCGTGAGAGGATGAGGTGATCTTAGTCAAATTTCTAAGACTAGGTTCTGCTTCAGTATGCGAGTGACCATGCAAGCTGCCCTAATGCCTATGAAATTTCTAATACGGTGACGCCAACCGACCTTCCCTCTAAGCGATGGGATGACGAAGACCGTGGAAAGGATGACTGGGCTGCGCAAGCAGTCGACACCCTCTCCCCTACCACCTTTCAGATACGGGTCTCGAACAGACAAAACGTCTGAGCGTGAGGGCATGGCAACATGGACCTTGTCTTAGGAAAACTGTAAAACATTATCTGTTCAACGTCTTATCTACGGCGTTCGGGTTCCATAAAATCATAATTCACTTGCACTTTGGTCATATTTTTAGGCGATTCTTCCCCCGTCTCCCAGGCAGATATGAAGGTTCTCCTCCATTTTTTTCCTGCGATATGGTCCAAAGTTAGCTCATGTTTGCCGGAGCGGGGTGAATCTTTTAATTTCCCCCCCTGATACTATCGGAAGCCAGTCCCGGTACTCTGCTCATAGGTTTTTTGTTTTTGCTCTTCACGGGTGCGAAATTGTTACGTTCAGCTCCGATTCACGTCCCGAAAATTTTTATTCGAAAAATCTGGAAATAACGGTATTTGTCAATAGTCGTTCTTGAACATTTTCATGTCAAAACTGGAATTCCTCGGAATTACCAAAAGGGTTTAGTTGGCAGATTTCTAAGTAAAAAATTCCTAATACGATATTAGTTTATTTTTAAATTTAAGTTATTTAGTTATTCAATAGTTCTCTTGTGCGCATTTTCAAAACATCTTTTAAGGCAATCTGTCCAACAATTACCCTTTAAAAAATTTCGTTCGTTTTTCTCAAGCTTCACTCAGTTTAATTTCACAGCATCAACTTTGCTTTGATGTTTAACTTACCTTTCTTTTAAAGGCAGCTTTGGCATAGCCCATATTCATTTCGTCCACATGTAATCCTCACTCACGTATTTCGTGGAGCTACGCTTCGGGTAATTTAAATTTTCCTTCGTGCCATTGCAAAATCTTTATAAATAGTGGCTGAAATTGAGATGACGTAGATCCACGTGGAGACCTTCCTTAGAGGATGCCGAATAAAGGGCTGTTTCCAGAGATTCTGCTTCATTTCTACCCAGGAAACTTTGCCTTTTCATTGCGCAAAAATAAATTAAACTCCAGTTGATTTGAAGGGGGAATGTTGATTCCCCTCATCCCTCTCATAGTTGAAACAGCAAGAAATCCCAGGAATACCATGGACAATATATAGGGTGGGCACAGAGTCGCCTCAATATGCAAAAAATAATTTTTTTTGTCTGTATTTTTTTTTAAGCGATCAACATGTGATAACAGTTTATGAGGGTTCATCAAAGGACATCTGTTGAAACAGCGTTATCAGACATTTGACCAACTCAAAACTGTGGTCTCGCAGTTTTTTTTTTATTACTAAACGACAAATTGAAAAAATGACTAAGAGAACATGGCCTCGAATAGAATTATGCCATGACAATGATGGGCTGCGCACTGATATTTTGGATCCCTAATTACATTTAATAAAATACAATTTTTTCTTTGTTTCATGTTATTATGTCATTTACTATTATTTAAAATTGTCCATAAAGGGACTTTGTGTCCACCATGTATTAGTTTCCACCTTTTGATCGGGAATGCAGCTCAAGACGTGAAATATAATGATCAGAAGGGTATACACACATAAAGGGTCTAGATTCTACGCTTACGCTTCATTTGAGTATTTTTCACGAAGTTTCGGTTCACCTGTTGTGTTTTAACTCATCGTGTTACGCAGAATTCTTGGACATTCCGCACGTTTTACATTTAGGCATTTACAAGCATTTCGCGATGTTTGAGACATAATTGGATACTTTAAAGTAATATTTAAATTAATTAACTTCTTAATGATTTGGCATTTTCCAGCGAACCACTACTTCCTGTAGAGTCGATTGACACCTGGCTGACCTCTGTCGTGTACAGTTCCCTGACAGGTACACTCTTAGAAAATTCCGAGAGTTTAGGGAGTAAAAGTGAGCAGTATGTGAGCTAGTTCAAATTTACTCTCTCATTACTCACCGAATGCTCCCTCTCGCTCGTATCGAAGTGAGCAATATGAAGTTCTTCGCCAGCCCACTAGATGGAGGTAAGGGTCTCGCTTTTCGTACGGTACACAAAAATTCCCTTCCCTTTTTCCCTAGCATCGTCGCTCGCAGGATCGTTCAGTACCTCGCCGAATGTCTCGTCTAGTCTCATTATAGGAATAGATAAACACGAACACTTCATCATTTGTTACCGACATATTCAAGACATATTCATAGAGTTCAGGCCATAAACAAGCTCATATTCTATTGAGAACCCTTGTGGAACAGAAATGGTTTCATCCGCCGAGGAGATCTAGAATACAAAGAGGGCGTTCGTTTACTCCATTCAACCATACTTCAATTTTATGAGGTAATGAAGGACTGATATTCCAGATACTTCACGGAACCATAAGAGATGGTCCATGCTCTGACACGTGCTGTAATCAGTGCAAGCAGAGGTAGGTCAACGCTTGTACTGTACGAGATCGAAAGCGACAAGAAGTATATATGAGGATTTGCGTATTTGCATGACATCCCTATCTCTTCCTGAGGGAAGCGTTTTTACTCACGGAGGAGGAGAGCAATTTTACTCCTTGGTGATGGAGCAAAGTCGCTCCTTTCCCAAGGTGAAAGGGGAGTGAAACTGGGGTTAACTATTTTACACTCTTTTTTGAAAAAAATCGCTCCCCTTTTCCTAAGATTGTACCTATTATATATTATAATATTATATATAATGACATAATATATGCAGATAGCGTTGAATAATGCGAAATATATGGGAGCTAGACCACACCCGCGTCCCACGGGATCCGCTTTGGGGGTGAAAACATTTCAACAGACAAATGATTCCTGGTTTGGATGACTTCCGAAGTGGACTACCCGCAAAATGGTGCGAGAGGTATCTCACATGAAAATACTGTATGAATAGGTTACCTTGACTTATGTTGCAGCTGAGAGAGTTGAGGTATGAGTACGTAATATTAATGCGTTGATATGATAGCTACGTTCTGCGTAGGTATTCTGCGTTTCAAAAACCTATAGGATTCCTATTGGACATTTTCGTAAGGGCGAACATAGAAGAAAAACGGCTCGCTTGATCTGTGTTTATCCTGTCTTCTCTGAGGCGAGTTAGTTAGGTTTATAGTGAGAACCCAAAGTCACTGGTGCAACAGTGAGTGTCTACCATCATGGTCATCGAGTTATTCTTTGGGAGAATACAGGGCATAAGGCTTTCTGTTCCAACGAAAACGGGCGCTCTCGCCCTCCATTCAATTTGGCAACCCCAATGTTGAACTTGCGAGCGCGCCACTCCACCTTCACGGAAAATTCCTGTAACATCCTATACAATTCTTATGTTTAAAAAATCTCTAATATTAAAAAATCTCATAGGATCCTACAGGATATATTCGTAAGGACATGCTTGCCTAGCCCACACACCCACACTTCTTAATATTAAAATTATTACTTCTTTTATCTCTCTCAGCTAAAATATGCACTAGCGCAATCTATTCATCAAGAGCTTGTGACTGATGCATCACATGTATCATTCGACGGGTGGTTCACTTCGTACGTCTTTCCCTCAGGGTATATTTTTAATTAGCTGTAATAGAAATTCAATCAGTAACCAGATGTAAAGGGTGTCGTTGAGATCCAGGAGACTGCGTAGTCCAATCCAAGAGAGAGCACTAAAGAAGCAGTATCGAAAAAAAAATCTAATTAACTTTAAAATAAATATTGAATTAACATGTTATATTTTTGTGGAAGCCTACAGACCATGGCAATTAATATGAAACCTCCCTCACCTTCATACGACTGTGATGCGGTAAACTGCGTAATATATATGTAGATTCCATTATATGCATGCACGGTATAACAAGATAACATATTTTGGCATTTCATTTAATAGAGATATTTAACCTATTTAATTTATTTAATGTACTACATGAGAGTATTTGCAACATGAGGAAGCGAATACAAGGGAACACACTTCATCAACATTTTGCTAAATAATTCTGCTGAGATCTTCCGAGCCGGTTTTCCCATTGGCCTTACATATGCTAACCAATTTCCCGGTAACACAGAAGGTATTACGCCAGTTCTTATAAGAGAACCATAGGATTTTCCTTGATCATTACGATTTTGAAGGAAATGTTAGACGTAGTTATGAAAGAGATTCATAATCTAATCAATTTTGATGGTGCACAGTGGTGCACAGGTTGCATGTAGAAGTGAAAATCCACAGGATCGCTTCGAATCATTGCAGCTTCATTCCCATAATTGGCACGCATCTCCCGATTACTCAACTCAAGCTATCTTTGTGACGTGGTTTTGAGAAAGTGCGTCGAAAGTATTCTAACAAAAAATGTGGCGTAGGTTACATTTTTAACAGCTGGATGGATGGATGAATTGCATTTACTGCATTCTATCCGGTGATATCTTCTTGCAGTGGTTGCTTGTCGGTGAAGCTAACCAAAGGGTTTATCCCTGCTATATTTGAAAGCCAATAATAGTTGCAGGGATTTGGACTTGCAGATGGAGGGAAGGTGTGCGTATGTCGTCCTCATAATGGCGGTATTCTGGATGACCGAAACGGTCCCAGTTGCTGTCACGTCCCTCATACCCGTCTTTCTCTTCCCACTTCTCGGGGTCCTTGATACCTCTGATGTCTGTCAAATGTACTTCAGGGAGACCAGCATGTTGTTTATCGGTAAGTCACTTTCTCTTCGTTGGCTATGTTCTGCTCGGGTGTGAGAATACTGTAGATGATTGAGGTGCATGGATGTACCTGTACAGGAGGCATCACGGTCGCGATTGCCGTGGAGCACTGCAACCTCCACAAGAGGATCGCCCTTAGGATCCTCCTCTGGATTGGAGCTTCCCAGAAATGGTCCGTTTCCCTTCGCTCTCGTTTCCCTTCTGCCAGTTTCAGGCTTCCAAGTGAAATAGGGATTGCTTTCCGATTCATCTCATTCCAAGGCAGTTTTAATCGATGTTTTGACTTGGAATGATGGCAACCACGATAGTAGCAGCAGTCGCAGACGAAGTTAGAGAACAAAAACGACACAATCGTATATTCTTCTTGTACCAGTGCAGGTTGATGCTAGGCTTCATGCTGACAACGATGTTCCTGTCGATGTGGATCACCAACACAGCAACAACTGCCATGATGGTTCCCATCGTAGAAGCAGTCCTAATGGAAATCTATCGGGTAAGGACTTAAAGTAACGTCTCATACCTCTCCCTCTCTCTTTCCGATGACGCGGACGAAAGTTGTCTATTGGTCATGCCGAACAGAAAGAGAACGGTAACGGGCCGGTGACAGGATCTCCGCGAGGTAGCAGACAGCTCAACAACTTACAGTACCTGCGGCAGCTGACAGAGCGACACATGACGGACGCATCCACAAGGCTCAATTTCCTCGAGATCGAATACGAGTGAGATCATCTCATTCATGTCGATCATCTTCTCCTTCCATATTAGCAGGATGACAGCGAATCGCGTTTCCCAATGTGAGAATTGAACATCTGAACGGGACGTACAGTAGATACAGGGTGTCCATGAAGTGACTACCTAATTGCATTTTTTATTATTGACACCGAAATAGTCTTTTTTTAACGTTTATAGACTGACGACGTATCGACCTCAGAATAGTGTCAGATCGTCAAGAGAGATATTCTCTCAGAAGTTTTTTTCTTCCGATAGATGGACTTGTCCTTGTAAACGATGCCTTTTAAGTAACACCAAAGAAAAAAATCACAAGAGGTCAAAACCGGAGGTCGTGGCGGCCCTGTCATTTGAAGAATATCGCAAAGAGAATTCCATGAAAGTATGAGATACAGTTTTAGACCAAATCTTGCAATCAAATCTGTTTTCGATTAAAAATTGTAACGACCCATACTTGGCTTCGGCGAAGAAAAAATGAAACTGGCAACAATTGAGTGCTACAAATACTGATAAACGAACGGCGATACACAGCTAGGGACCGGCATTTTCCACATTTTTTTCTAATCCTAAGCCTCTAGATTCATCGATATTTTTTAAGTTCAGTAAAAAATATTGGAAGAAAGTCGAGGTTTTGTGTAAACAGAAGAAACTAACGAATTTATTGGAACTTATTTCATGTATATACGGAGAATCAAAAATAGCTTAATCAGTACCTTGCCTTATTATGGAGATATGTATACATTAGAGATCCGCTCGTAACTTCGAAAACGCAGGCACAATATCAACGCTCCTCACTGGAAAAGAAGACAAACAAGGTGCATCTCTACTCAGAGTTGAGCATTACTTCATTGACAGGAAGTAAGGTTCGACATTTTATAAATATGGTAAACTATTTTTTTTTAACTCAAAATTTCAATGAATATGCTTAAGAATGAGTTTAAGTGCTCGTTAAACTGATTTGTGACATGCACCAAATGTAATCATTTCATTTCTCACTTAAACTATTCTGGAAGGATAAACTTGTTCCATAGCAGGTTTATGGGATTCTAAAGGGATTTTCTGAGGTCGTTTAGCATGATGTTTTCCCATCTAAATTATCTTGCCTTTCATCATCTAGCGACGGGGGAAATGGAAACTAATGAGGATATAGAAGTTTTCCACGTGATCCTGAACCAACCTGCCAGGAGGACTGTCAGAGATCGGCTCAATCTTCTTGAATATTTCAATGGAGACAAATGTTCATATCTTTCCATGGACACCGTAGCGGATTTGTAAAATAGAGCAGCAGCTGGTACATATATATCAAATATAAACATATTCTTAAACATGTTTTTGTAATGTACCTATCTCGTCTTCAAACTAATTCGATGCCTCAGTATCTATACTAACTCTTTGCGGGAAATCGACTACGATAAAAATGAAAATCGGAGAATCATTGCCCACTAGCACGAGTGAGGAAAGAAACCACTTCTTACGAACTCAATATGCCTTTATGCTCGAATGAATCCAGCGAGCAACAAAACGTGGAGGAGAACATGGAGGAGAACATGGAGGAGAACGTGGAGGTGGAGTTCAAGGAAGGCTACCAAGAGGCCCGGATTCAAGTCTTGTTGGCTGTGGCTTATTCGGCAGGCATAGGGGGGACGGGGACTCTCACTGGGACAACTCCAAATCTTCTCCTTAAGGGATTCGTGGACGAGTATGTCACTTTTTCCTTTTGAATTCCCTCACCAACTCCTAATTCCCTACGTCCAGTAGTTTGATTTTAATTGCTCTTTTCCCCCATGGATTTTGGTCGTCAAAAACCTCGCAAAAGTTATAGCACAAGATAATGCAGCAAAAGACTATGAGCAAAGGTTAGGTTAATGACAAAAGTCAGTCTTATAAATCCATATCTTTTCATCAGAAATGCGTATATAAAATTATTTTTGAACTTTCGATGTGTTGCCTTTTGAATGGCGAATAGCATTTCTGGTAAAAGGACCACTCCGTTATCCAATGGCTTTATGAATATGTCTGGTCTCCAAGGATGGTTTGAACACCTTGAAATGCGCTTGGCTTGCGCAGTACCTTGAGAATTTACCTTCTCCACAAATTTGTTAACACACACCTTACAGTTCGTATTGAATACAGAGGCTAACCTCCGCAACAACTTCAAAAGAAAACGTTTGCTTTCTTCAGTCACACATCCAGCGTAGATTGTTAGGACTTACAGTAAACAATACGTGATTCCACGAAGTCCACTTCAGCTTGATTGGAGTAAGGGATATTCCTGAGTACTTTGAGTACGAATACTGATTTTGAGAAGTATTTCTTGTAGGCGTCTTCGACTTGGTTCTTAAAAGTTAGGGTATAGTCTACTGTCATGTCTAGGTATTTCGTATTGTTCGACTGAGCTATAAAAGTGCATCCGATTTTTATTTGCGTTTGCTACTCCTCAGTGGCTTTTTCCCCCTTTGTTATGAATATTTCTTTTTCACAGATTTAGTGGGGTTCAAGATCGAGCCAATATTTTCCGACCTGGTTTGAGCATGATCAATTTCTCGTTTGTATGCCATTAAATTTTCGTTGCTGTTGATGATGGGTATGATGACCGTATCGTCTGCATATTTTAAGATGATACAGTTTGATTCAGTCGCCTTGAGTGGATCAGTTACAAAAGAATGAAATTGAGGCGACAAAACAACACCCTGAACTACCTCTGTGACCGTACCTTGAACAGCGGATTTCTCCTTATCAGTTTGACATACTGAATGTTGTCTGAGAGGTAGTTCACCACTAGTTCGAGCAAGCTACTTGGAACCTTGATAATGATAAGTCTACGAATGATGTCTCTCCAGTTGATGCCGTTGAAGGTCCAGTGTAGTCTAGAAATAATGCTCGAACAACCCTTGCAGTCCTGTTGTCCTGAACTTTCACTACTTGATGAAACAGAGCCGCAACTGCTTCAGACGTGCTGCAAGATTTGCGGCATGCAAGCTGATATTGAACTCTGGATTTCGTGTTTATCATTTCTTGGAGTTCGTCTAGTGTCGAGTACTCAAGGCCTTTGAGGAAGGGAGAAGATAGCCTAACTGATCTGTAGTCATTTAGTTCTTTGGGTTGGAAGGTTTTCTGAAGAGGGACTGTCTTCACCTGCTTCAAAATTTTCGGAAGTTTCCTCAGTCGCAAAAATCTCCTTCTTCGTGCTAGGATATTTTGTTGAACCATTTTTGGTTAGTTGAATATCCTAGAACTTGAAATCATTATCATAGGGTGACATTGCTGCCTCCTTCTTTGTCTTCTCGTGTACTGTATTTTACCACAGGGGAGAACGGGGAAAGGTAGTCTACTCAGATCACGATCTTTCTGAGCATGGAACTCGCCAACACGATATCTTCCTTTTTTGCGTCGAAAAATTCCAACTGATCACGGGTAGTGATACTATCTGGAAGTACATGTTTCTTGAAAGTATTAAGAAAGTTCGACAGCTCACATATGGAATATGCGTATCTGTCACAATTCATTTGGGTTACAAAGAAAGGAAAAACTCCTGCGAGGACAAGTAAGGCTACTACCACCCAGGCCGCTGCCATGGTGGAACGTTTTATATTCCATTTTCATCTTGACTGATTTTAGTTCTCGTACGGTATGTCAGTCTTGATTTCGTGGACTCCTTCTTGACTGGGGATGGATGGTATAACGAAAGAGGAATCATTTTGAATTTCCAGTATGTACGGGTCTGAGACAGGACTGAATTATGGATCTTGGATGGCCTTCAATGTCCCTGGGATGCTACTCAACGTCTTCTTCGCCTGGCTCTGGCTCCATGGAATTTTCCTCTTAGCACAGTGAGTAAGCTGCTACTAGACCTGGAGATCTTCTGTCGATCGTGTATCAGAGCACCAGGTACTGCACTTAGATGGAGGGAGCGTCGGAAGCACCCAGAGAAAAGTGTGGCGAGTCGAAGCGAAACCACAAAGGCAGAAATTGCAGCTCGTGCTGTGATCGAGAGGAAGTACACGGAACTCGGGTCCATGTCCTTCCATGAATGCATGACTCTAATTTTGTTCGTCACCCTCGTCCTGCTCTGGTTCTTCAGAGCTCCGCAGTTTATCACTGGATGGGCTGAAGAGATAACAGGGGATCGGTACATACTTTCGTTCGCTTCCATTTCCTGTCCATTTCCCTTGGCGAAAAGAACGATGTGAGACCACTGACAAACACGTTTCTTAGCGATCTGTACATCGGAGATGCAACTGCTGCCATGCTCATCGGGTTTCTCTTCTTCATCATCCCTGCAAAACCGAATTTCTGGTGCTTCCGAGAATCATCAGGTGATTAGGATCTTTTCCCCCTCCCCAGCTTTCAATTCATTGGCTTTACATTTTAGTGACAAGAATATGCAAGCCCAGGTACATGGAACGGTCGAACGGACTTTATGAACGTGTGAGCTGTATTTGGCAGCACCAAACACCAAACACAGTCAGAATTTCATGTAGCTTCTATCCTAAACCAGAACGCTGAAGTAACCATGACTAGTATACTAGTAATCATGTAAGAAATGGCATATTGACTGCGTGCACTGTCAAGTGATCTCAAGTAATCAGTACTTTCAGAACTGGTGATTTCAATTCTTTACCTGATTTGCCTCTACTAGGAAGGGTATGGCACATTATTCCCTCTGGTCCTATGCAGTTTCTCCGGATGTAGAATCTGCTTAATTTTAGATAAACCGTCGGAGCGGAGCCCGGCCCTTCTCACTTGGAGGGTCGTCCAGGAGAAGATCCCGTGGGGCCTGCTGCTACTAGTTGGAGGGGGTTTCGCGGTGGCGCAAGCCTCCGAGGAATCTTGCTTGTCCTATTTCCTAGGTCTGCAAATGGGAAGCCTGGGTTCCTTGCCACCAGCATCTGTCGTTTTCATCGTCACTCTCATGTCGGCCATGATAACGGAAGTGGCTTCCAACACGGCCACTGCTACTATCCTCATTCCCGTCCTTGCCCAACTTGTACGACACCATTTTCATTCACTTTATTGATTAGATGGCAATCCGTCGGCAGCAACAGTCTTTTCAACACGGTTTTCTTCTCCTTGTTAGGGCTCTTCATGTAAATGCATGACAAACATAGCATTGAAAGTACAGTAATTGGGAAAGGAACGCTGCTGAATCCTCCTTACTAACAATTTTCTTTGCCTCGCATATCCCTATGTAGGCGAAGGTGGTGAAGGTGAATCCAATATACTTGATGTTGCCAGCGACTGTGGCATGCTCCTATGCTTTCATGCTCCCAGTGGCAACCGCACCTAATGCCATAGTCTACGAGGCCACCCAGATGAAGACCATCAGCATGGTACGCAATGCCAACTTCATATTTCTATATTTTCTTGCGGTCTGATAATTCGTGTTTTCGTGGGATTCTTGAATTGCAGATCAAGGCCGGGTTCGTCATGAACGTGATCTGCGTGGCAGTGATCAACATGATGATCAACACGTTAGGATATGGGATCTTCGACTTCTCCCAATTCCCTGAGTGGGCAAACACGGGGAGTAATTCCGGCTCCTCTTCTCACTGCAACTACACTCTCTCCTAGCACGTCCCAGACTTTAATTCCGTTTACCTTGTCACCTGGTGCATTTTACAAGGGTGCATATTCAGCACAGACAGTATATTATGTGTGATGCAGCTTTTGACTCAGGGAACTCCGAATGGAAGCAATGCTAACTATTATCCGTTCGTCATTCATTCTGGTTGGAAGAGAAGGAAAAGCAGGACACGGACATGGGATACTGTTGCTTCTGAATCCTGGGAATAAATGATCATTCTTTGCGAGTAGAATAGCGTTTCATTGATGGTGTCTGACGTTTCCACTTATTTGCATTTAGGCGATTTGAATTCGTGAACTCAATTTATCGGAATAATTCCCCCTTTTTCGTTTTGTGTCCCGGTTGAGTCAATCCTTGAAATCTTGGAAATCGTGACATTTTTTAAATCATGAATTTCCAGCTGCAACGTAACTACCCTGCCATATCCTCCTACTGGCGAAGAGAGCGGGAGGTTCTTCATTTTCCTTTGATCAATAGGCGCGGTAGTGCCTATTACCTTTCTTCAACCCCTTCCCGCCGCAAAATTTAACCTCCTCGTATTCCTCTCTGAGAGCATCAACAAGAACGAAATTTGGCATACTTCTTCCTCTCTCACCACAGAATCGCTCCAGCAAATTTGAAGCTCTATCTCTCCGGGGTTATGGTAAACGCTGAATCTCGTTTTTGGAGGATGAGAATTTCATTCCGTTTTATTTTTTTCTCCCTCTCGCTGGGTAGCCACTCCTGGGGGGGTTTCGGAGGAAAGATATTGACTCGTAGATGACGAAAATTGGCTTTTTTTGCTGTTTGCGATGCTCCATTTCGCTATTTAAAAAAAAATGAAATTAGCTCAATTGAATTAACCTTCCGTATTTGAACCTTCCGTTTGACATAAGGTAGGTCTTTAATAGTTTATCTAAGGGGTCAAGACTATGACATACCATTCTATGGTCTCAGCATCGCTCCAAGTGTTGTTCAAGCAGAGACGCACGGTCTTTCCAACTTTTACCCATGATGGCCGAGATTTCTTGAATATTTAGACAATCTCATGGACAACCTTACAGTCCCTCTTCCTGCCATTGTAATATTTTGAATTTAAGATTCCTTCTAGTGGTTTAGATCACTATCAGATATGCCATGTTCCTGGATTTGATAGTTTTAGCGCCATATACTCAGCAGTATATACGTCAATGCAATCTTTCTAAGAGACTTTTAGATGGATTTTTGAATTATTCATGAGAATAACTTAACGAAGGAAAGCTATTCAGCGGGGGGGGGGGATATATCCTGCACCATAGGGAACGCAAAAAATTCATGTTTTATCTTCCCATCGACTCACTGGTTCTAGTAACGTTCCACAGGTTTCTTATTGGCAGCGGTTCGAGGAAGTCAAAGAGGAAAAGTTATCTGGGAGGAGAGCGACTCAAAAAGCGGAACTGATGGATGGTGGTAGAAGGAGGCGGAACCGCAGTCTATACTTCTAAACTGAACGGTCTCACACGTAACAGTCGGATGGAGTCAGCCTTTGCGAATGAATAATCATCGGCGGTCATTTCCACGGTTACACGAAGCGTGAGAGGGGGCAGGGGGGAGGGGGGGGGGTCTGCGATTAGACGTTGTCCCCTCCGGTGCGTTCTCTTTCATCGGAGCTCACATTAGGTGAACTACCATGCATGGGGGAAACATGATAGGCGAGCCCAGTCCAGTAGTGGGCCTCCTTTCATTTTAAGAGACCCACATTTTGTCGCCTAATTGAACAAAATGCCATATATTTCAGGCCCTCGGTCATCGAAAACATCATTTTTCAGCTACGTTTGAAACTCTACCCATGGTGCCCATGAAATGATGATGGGAGGATGGAGGGTTGTGCGCGCTTGGAACCATCCGCCATGAAGGTTGGTAAGGAACTGAGAGCTCTGATTGCTGACACAGCACCGCGCCCAAGGTCTGGGTCGTACGCGCATGCGCATTGTGATCCAGAGCCTGAAGGGCTCACAGGTACTGTAACAAAATTTCAAATACAAAATTGCAATAAAAATGCTAATTTTGGCTAATTCGCCGCAAAACGAGCTCAGCCTGTATCTTGTTCATATCTACCTGCTTGCCAATTTTCAATTTTCGCCTTGGTCAGACCAATATTTTCTTAGCTATCTCGGACAATCTAAGTGTGACACACTGACACATGGACGGACAGGACGGGCCCATAAGTTTTCTATTTTCTTTCAGGAAAGGAGGTCCACTAAAAAAGGGAACTACTTTCTTGGAATTCTCAACTACAAGGTAGACAGGAATGTAGTGTTCATCTACAGATCAACCAACTATACTCTTACCAAGTACAAACTACCGACCATAGGATGAAAGACTAAAAGGAAAGGACGGGCGCTAAAATTATTCAAGAAATGGATTGATTGGTCTAGAGAGATCCTTCTTCCTTTCATTGACGATGGTAGCTTGTTGCACCTGAGAAGTTGGTCACTGCTCCTCGCTTTTTAGCGTACAGTCACTAGAATTCTTTTCCTCTGGAGGTTGAAAATAATTGTCGAAAAGGCGACGCCGTCCATGATCACTGTCAGACGAGTTGGAAGGCCGGTGTTCAACAGTGAAAAGAAAGGAGGGAAAGAAAGGGAAAAAGGGACGGGTGAGACAGAAGCTCATGGTAGGGATGTTCTGCGACCGTGGGGGATCGCCTCCCAGACCAATCTGCCTTCCTCTTCCAACTTTCGTCTCCGATAGAAACAAACTTCAGACGAGTCGGGAGAGGTTCTCATGAGAAACCAATGAGTAAGAATAAATCCCTTACTTGCCCCCCAGTTGTGGGCCTGCATTGGCGCTGGCGTGACACTTATCTCAAGTGCGGAAAAGCCATCTAGAAGATTTCCCCGAATGACAAAGTTCCTACGCCTGAAGCGAGATGGAGCAGAAATAGCCGATAGCAGAAATAGTTCACTGATAAACTGAAACAGGTCCTCGTCTCTCTTCATGCGGAACCCGATGTTTCCCCTAGACAAATCAAGGGAATGCACCGGAATACGTTCATCTGAACAGGTGATTCAGTCCGGGAAGACTCCTGTCGATTCCAGAGGGAAGACGATTCAATTAAAGACACGACTCCATGAAAGAAGAAAATCCGACTGTGGAGGCTTTGTCTCTTTCCTATGGAGAAGGTAGATCCGGATGGGATGTGCAATCCCATGATTTCGAAGGAACCAGAAGGGATCGGAAGAGTAAAAAAAACTAATAGTAAAAATTCAATTGTAAAAAAAATGGATATCTCACGAGACGATACAGGGAAGGTAGTACTCCCTGGAAGTATTTGCTGGAAGCTTTAACTTTACTCTCCGGACGGAGAGATTCGGGGGGACGAATGTCCCCAGAAGGGCGGAAGAGCATTCACGAGGAACAACTGACGATTATCCCCAGCCTATGAGACTCCAAGAAGAGGCCTCGGGGGAAAGCCTATTATGGCGGAACATGGAATCCTCATCACACGGCGCCTACAGCGGGCAGACCTGGGTCTGCTGCCAGCTTCATCCTTATAAAACCATCAATGTGATGAAGCTTCCTTTATTTCAATGATTTCAGTTGAGAGGCACTAAACCTCGTTCATGACGTTCTTCAGGCTGCATCACAAGTTGAAAACTAGGACTTACACTTCATTCAATCTTCTAGTAACATGACCTGAAGTCGAATTATTTGCCAGTATAGGACACTAAGCATTCGTAAATTACTCGTACTTCCCTCGTGCACTTAACATTTCCACAAAGCAAATAGAAAGTGATGTTATTGTGTTGAATTAGACCTCCCTTTCCAGGTTTTAAAGTGGCTGGATAATAGGGGAATCTCATCGAGTCCTTTCGTACTTCACCCTCTATCTAATCTAGAGAACGAAAAAATAATAGACCTTCTGCGGGTGTGCAAGTCGCTCTTGGTGGCAAATCCTTGTCGGCGCCGCATTGAATCCGACAGGAAACGCGTTACCCATTCGAAGGTTGACATTAAGCATTACGCATTCGAAGGTTGACATTAAGAAGAAAGCTCTCGTCCTTGCTAATCCCGAGTCCAAAGCTGTCTAGCCTTTCTAAGCTCTCGTCTCACATAGATCCAATGATTCTGTTTCGTTCTTCTTCCTGCTAGGAAACGAATTCAGAGGAGGGCCACGCACAGTTCTCCCTCGAATGGGACTCATAATTCCGATGATGATTTTCTCTTTTCTAGCCGAGGATACCTCACCACTCGGGATTTTTTTGTTGTTGTAAAGGTATACTTAAAAGCACTGATCAGCACTGATGACGCCATATACCGTTTTCTTCCACTGCTACCATGATTGGAATTATGTTATGGTTATTATGTCAGACTAAAAAATATAGACATTAATACTTTGGTTTCGCAACAAAGCAAACGACGAAATGAAATCCTGTCAAGCGCGAAACAAGTCCGTGTGAGAGGAGGAAATTCCCCATTCCTCTTAAAGCCGTTTTCAATTTTCTATGCATCCTTCTGGTTCAAGTCGATATCTCGCATCTTCTTATGTCATTCTTGGACGGATACACCGATCGAAAACCTTTCGCTTCAGGTCCATAGGTATTTCACTCTTTATGATGTTAATCTCATAAATCGTTCTCCAACCATTTCCCATTCCGAAACACTCATCGTTCACAAGATGATGATTAAATCTGTGCTGAAGGATCTACTTTGTTGGACGATGGAAGGTGATGACAAAGGTGAATCGGCAAAGACAGGAAATGTGGCAGGTAAAGAATTATGAATGAGTCTTAAGTATATCTCATAATGGAGGTCTGCAGACTTCATACTGGGGATACAACATGCTGCGAACGCATATCTTCCCGATCCACACATTCACGCACATTCACACACGCCATTCAGTCTTCCTGGTCGTACGGGATATCAGTACGAGACTCGTGAGATGGGACTCGAGCTGCTCACTAGTTATCTAGATTCATCTCGATGGGACCAAGAACTTAGAGGATGAAAAAAGACCAGCCTAAAGAGAAAAAGAGTCGAATAAGAATTAATGTGTTTCATCTCTGTCGTTCGAGTGACCTGGTGAGCGTGGGTAGCAACCGGCAACTTAGAGATTCAGCTCATTCCTTCCAAGCCCTGTGATTCCGTCCACCCCAACTCCAAAGACCCCCCTCTAAGGGTGTTGAGTTGGCACTGCTATAAGTTTCCTTTGAAAGCGATCGCAATGGTGCCAGCGACAGCGGAGAAAGTCAAGTGGACATCCCACATCCTCCCGTTCTGGAAGTCTTGGATCGTGATCCTCGTCCCGCTTCTGGCTCTCCCTTTCCTCTTCGTCCCCGAACAGCGTGTGGTGAGTCTTTTTCTCACTCACTCAACTCGATTCTTTCATGTACAGTGGACAATAATGACTAATGTAGAGAGGAATAATCCAAATATGAATAGCGCATTTGGGAATCTGGCGGTCACTCTACGACAATAACTCATAGTTTCAGGGCTAGGTCCGAATCGGCCTTCGAGTGCAAAGCAGCGCGAGCACTGCCCACTGTCTCTCATGCGGTTGTATAGGGAAGCATTTTTAGAAATCTGTCCCCTCAATTTTCTAATTCCATTCCTCATCGAAGTTCGGCAATGGAGAATCGACAACGCAAGGAGCTGGGACAACGCCTGCATGGATGAGCAGTTAAATGAGGGGGTTTAACTATCCTGGTTAATCTACGCAAAGTTAATCTACGCATGAAACGATAAAACCATACTGTCGTGCTCTTCCCCCTCGCTTTTCAAAACGAAACAAAGCGACGGGTACTTCATCTTTCCTTCTTCCATCCTGTGAGACCATGGAGACGCTGAACCGAATTAAGGGACACACTAAGAGCAGACAAAACCCCTCTCGTCGACCTATCAGACACTGCTTTCAAGCAGACGAACTGTCTGTTCGTGATATCGGCTTTATAGACATAGCTTCAGAGAACAGGATACAAAAATTTCTTCTGCATAAATTACATGGTTTTCTAGTGATAAGTTCAGATTGGGTAATTTGGGCAGGATTTCAGTCATTTTCAACGTTGCACTTCTACAGTATGTATTCTAGCCAGCTGAGAGACTTCTGTTGATTTCCTTGACGCTTGATTAATTAACGATATGTAATGGCACGGAAAACTGGAACAGAGAATCCCATTCACCAGAAGGGGTACCTTTTGTTTTTCACCCACTTCTTACACTCATATTACCGCAGCGTTGGGATTATTTAGGCAATCTCTTTCTACGGTATTGCGTTTTGTACCCAAATGTCTCAACGGCTTGGTGAATTTCTTCATGCTCCCTCAAAAGCTTGCAGTTAGTCGAGTCCATGAAAACCTCGTACCGAAGCAGTACAGTTGCTACTGCATGTCATGGTCATGATGACTTAGTAATACCCGCCTCTCTGGTTGAGGCAAGGTTTCTCTCATATTCTTCTCAATCTCATACCACAAAAATGATTCTCACCATTCGTTTCAATCTACAGAATCCAGTCCCCCTCGCAAAGAACATGCGAAAAAAAATTATAAAGGAAGAATGAAAGAAGAATATGTTGTGAATAGACTTGCGTAAATGTTGCATATTTGAAGTATCCACAGACGCAAGTCTCCGAATTCTAGATTGTTTTATTATTATTATCTCTCTAGTGACTATCCGAGTCGACCGTTCATCTAGTTCTTTTGGATTTCTTTTTTTTGTGTCCTAAAATTAATGAAAATCGCTTTAATTTCTTTAGTGGTGGTAGCACTCCACAGCGATCGGGAAATGGCATCATGAAACCAAAAGAAAAAGAAAAATTACGCAAACAAGGGAAGCATGGGAGACAAGCGAGTGAAAACTTGACGGCATCCCAAAGATACCGGAATGGGGGAACCACGACTCTAAATGATAGAAATAGCAAGTACAAAGAAGAGCAGTTCATTCAGATACGAGTTAGGAGGAGAAGGAGATTGGAAGTAGCACGAAACATCCAGTGCAGAAGAAAATATTCAGAAAGATTAGGGTAGCTCGTGATAATACCTGGAGTGGCACGCTATCAAAATAGGAAGAAGTGAGGCGAGGCACGCAAGTGGCTGTTGATGGTATTCTTGACGAGAATGATGAGGGAAGTCGAAGAGCTGCGTGCTGTTCCGTGGGCGACCTACTCAAATTATTGGAACCGTTTTGCGGAAAGAATCTTCGTGTCCAGACGTGTCGTAGCCTTACCTTCTGCCAATTTTATTGTGATGCTCCACTGCAAACACATTTCTGGAAGCGTTTCCTCGAGGCGATTCTCGCCCGTTTATCACCGCGAACGTGTCAGTCACATGATCAATTTACTGATACGGTATGACTTAAAACTCAAGTCCAAAACCACGGATCATTCACGATAATCGTAAAATTCTTCCGACGACTTCCCTCCCCCCTCCCCTCTTTCGTGGAGGAAATTAAGTGGGGGATTCGATTCGTCGAGCATCTAGGATCAGATACTATCCAGTAAATTGGCACATTTTCCAATATGGTGCTTCAAATGGGGGAGAGATAATTTACAATTCAATCCAGATGGATCATATCTGTCATCCAAGCCATGAAGACGAAAAATGGCGAGTGAAAGACGTACCATTTGAAGTTCATTGCAGCCAGTGCATCGGCCCCTGTGGAGCATCGGACATAACAGGGGCGAGGATGTCCGGGGACGAGGGCGTCCGAAAGTCTCTCTATGGGTATCTTTACGGTCTTTATAGAGGTCTTATATGAGGAAAAAAAAGGAAATACTCGTCAGTCGTGCGTTTATGTAGAAAGAGCAGGAAATCCTTGATTTCAGTCTTTTTGTATCACTTTGTTCCTTTTGTCTCCTGAGGACTCACCCTAACTACTCGTGATGATCCTGTAGCTGGATTTAGTAACAGTATTATAATCCCTTCCCTACCTGTACGTTCCGCAACATATAAAGCTAAACGTAGGCCTATATACCGTGCTCGGAGACCAGAGTGAACTAGCGGCTTCATCGTCTAATAGCTTCGCTAATACCTCGAAAAAGAAAGGGTCGTGATCACGACAACAGCGCACCGACGTAGATCGGAGCTGACAGTTTTTTTTTGTTCCTTCCGGAATCGGACCACATTGCTTTACATGGGATCGCATGTTCTGTAGCGAATCGACCCGCGCCAATAAGAGGATTTTTTTCCGCGCCGGTATTTTCTTGCATGCGAAAAGATCCGACCTGCCTTGGCGTGTGGGCACCGTAACTTCCCGTGCCGGCACGAGTCGAACCGCTATTGCGAGATCAAAGGCGGTTCAAGTCTTCGATGAACGGAATCTCGACTCGAGGCTCACAGATCGGATCGGAACAGGAACGGAAAGGAAGGCGGACGCCCAAGCGGAAAACGAAAAGGGATCCGGATTCTTCCCTTCGTGTTGTCTGGATGCCAGCGGAAATAGAACGGGAAGGACCTGCCGTTATCCTCATCGTGTCCGACGTACCGGCACATTAATCGCCTCGTTCCTCACCCGAATCCAGTTTCGTAAACCGATCACGACCGAAGATTGTAGCATCAATCAAGTAAGATTTCTTTTCGCTTTCGCAAAGTCATCATTGGCAATCCACATCGTTCGGAAGACATTGAATCTGTTCTTGCGTTTTCCTTCTAGAGCTAAATATCGCATAATGATTTGCTGAAAGATGAGCCTCTAGAGAAGGAGTGCCTTTTACAAGTTTACATTTCCTCGGATTCCAGTCACAAATACCTCATTGACTTTTCGGCAAAATTTTGGGTGCTATGCAGCGAAATTGGAAAAACAAGGAAAAAATGGCATTTGCCAATCAGGGCTTTTCGCCATCAGGACACATCAAATTAGTCCTGATGGCGAAAAAAGGCGAAAAGGTTACAGAATACATTGATCACAACCAACTTTATTTTGGCGCAATACACATCGCATATCAACTGCCTGTATTGGCATTTGGTTGCATTGGTAATCAAATGACTTATCCCTGCTATACCTGAAAACCGATGATGGTTGCAGGGAATTGGACTTGCAGATGGAGGGAAGGTGTGCATACGTCGTCCTTATCATGGCGATATTCTGGATGACGGATGCCTTACCGATGGCTATCACGTCCCTCATCCCTGTCATCCTTTTCCCACTTCTCGGAGTCCTTGGTACCTCCGAAGTCTCAACGGTGTATTTCAAGGAAACTAGCATGCTGTTCCTCGGTAGCCTACCAACTCTTCCTTGATCATGTTCCCTTTGGGTTTGAGAATGGATGATTAAGATGCGCGGATGTACAGGAGGTATGATGGTCGCGATTGCCGTGGAGCACTGCAACCTCCACAAGAGGATCGCCCTCAGGGTCCTCCTCTGGATCGGAACTTCCCAGAAATGGTCTGTTCTCGTTTCCAGTGACTGGCTCCCAAGCGAAATAGATATTGCTTTTCGGCTCATCTTATTCCAAGGCGAATTCGCCGATGTTCCGAACGGGAATGACGACAATTACAGTAGTAGCAGGAGTCGTATAATACGTTGAAAAGTCATTTACACAAACGTAGGTTCTTCGGGTAACGTGGCAGGTTGATGCTGGGGTTCATGCTGACGACGATGTTCCTGTCCATGTGGATCACCAACACAGCAACAACTGCCATGATGGTTCCCATCGTGGAGGCAGTCCTAATCGAAATCTATCGGGTAAGGACTCAAGGTAACGTCTCATACCTCTCCCTCTCCCTCTTTTCGATGACACAGACCGAAGTCGTCAATTGTACCGTACAGAAAGAGAACGATAACGGGCCGATGACCCGATCGCCGCGAGGAAGTCGACAACCTACCAACTTGCAGAATATGCAGCAGCTGGCAGATCCAAACATGTCCAACGCATCTACCAGTCTCAATTTCCTCGTGATCGATGAGGAGTGAGTTTATCTTATCCATGTCCCTCATTGCACTCCACATAAAGAAAATGGTATCGCATCAGTATTGACCTCATGAGTAAGATATACTTATACCAGAGATTCGCAATAAACTTTAAAAACGCACTCTTGATATTCACGCTCCTCAATAAGAAAGTAGACGAAAATAAATTGACCTTTGTCGAACAAAATTTCCGGGAAAAAATAGATACAGGAGGGGTGAATTGCCTCTCATTTTGGCTTATACTAACCGGAATCGCAATTTTTAAGGACGAACAATATATGCTCGTGATCTTTGGTTGGGACTATCGACAGCAAAACAAACAATGTATCATTCTCAACCTTCCTAGGGCAGAGGTTATATCTATACTAACTTTAGCGGGGATGACGAAAAGGGACAATGGAAAATCTATTTTTACTGGCGACAGTAAGGATTTGAACCATCCTAACGAATTCGAATCCATTCAAGCCCTAATGGTTTCAGCGAGCAAAAGAACGGGGAAGAAGACACGAAGGTGGAATTCAAGGAAGGCTACCAAAAAGCCCGGATTCAAGTCTTGTTGGCTGTGGCGTATTCGGCAGGCATAGGGGGGACGGGGACTCTCACTGGGACAACTCCAAATCTTCTCCTTAAGGGACTAGTGGACGAGTATGTCACTTTTTCTTTTTGAATTCCCTCACCAGCTTATGGTTCCTGTGTGAACTAATTCATTTTTCTTGTAGACATTTTTCTTATTTTGGGTCAAGGACGCCTGTCTTAATATCGTGGATTCCTTCTCACCTGGACTGTGTGGAGATCACTAAAACAGGATTCATTGTTAATTTCCAGGATGTACGGGTTTAAGTCAGGACTGAATTACGGATCTTGGATGGCCTTCAATGTACCAGGGATGCTGCTGAACGTCTTCTTCGCCTGGCTCTGGCTCCATGGTGTTTTCCTCCTAGCCCAGTGAGTCATGCTAACACTTAATATACAAATCGCCCGTTCATCCCGTATGAGCACCAGGTGTCGCACGCAGATGGAGGGAGCGTCGGAAGAACCCAGAGAAAAGCGTGGCGAGTCGAGACGAAGCGACGAAAGCAGAAATAGCAGCTCGTGCCGTGATCGCCGAGAAATACACGGAACTCGGATCCATGTCTTTCCATGAATCCATGACTCTAATCTTGTTCGTCATCCTCGTCCTGCTCTGGTTCTTCAGAGATCCTCAGTTTATCACTGGATGGGCCGAATCGATCATAGGCGATCGGTACATTCTTCAGCTTATATTTCATCTCTTTTTGCCTATGCGAATTGCATGAGTCAAACCGGGGTGAGGTAAACTGAAGGTTTACCGGACAAAGGTTCAACAAATAACACCTGCAAAAAAAAGCATTGACAACCACAAAAAATGCACTTCTCCGCACGTTTGTATGTCTGTTCTCGTTCTGGCATCCAAATCGTTGAATATAGAGCGCTGAAAATTTTTACACTGATTCCTTAGCAGACAATGATGTGCCCTTCTCATATATATGCTAATGGTTAGGCATATCCTGTTGACTCTTCATCGGGCCAACTTTGTTTCATTGTTGGGAATCACATGGGAATGGAAGGATATCTGTCCACCCGCTGGAGGACCAGGCACGCCTTACACCTAATGAGACTTTTCCAGGTCGAGTAGATGGTGTAGGTCGCGTAGCTCATCGTGGAAAGTAGAAGGATCCTCCCACGAATTTCCGGGCCGGAATTTTCTGGTGTATTCCAGAGTTAGGTTACATCTTCAGAGAAAATTTTCAATGAATTTAATTGTCTTCCTCTGAGATCCTCGTGAGAAACCATAGGGAATCGTGTCAAAGGGACATGGAACTCATTTCAGTCGAATCAGGGAATTGACTCCCTATGACGACCAATAGGGCTCCATCTCACGCCGGTTTTCGGAATCTTCTCAGCCACATTGAGTCATCTACGGTGAATGATTTTTCAGCCGATCATGAGATGAGAAACAAAGTTGAGCCAACTTCTCCAGCTATGGCAGGACGATAAGCAAACAAAATTTTCATACTGGGCTAGAATACTTTAATATCAATCCATGGAGGAAACATTAGCATGGGCCCTGTGGGACAATTCTCAGAATCTCTCAACTATTAAGTAAATAAATACGTTAATTATTTACCGAAATATCTGTGCCTGAATCAGTTTAGCTTGTTTTCCCTCAAAACTAAAACAATTTTACTCATTCGAAAATGCAATTAACACCTGTAGATTCTAGAGTGGGACAAAATTCCACCACTCACTGGCTGTTTTTTTTTTTTAATTTTTCTTGGATATTTTATTTGCACTGAGGAAAGATGAGGTATAAGTTCATGTGGGTTATGTGAAAGAGTAAAATAATATATAAATTGACATGTTCTATCTTTAACACCGATTGGCCCTGACTCTGTCTGCATCTATTGATAGTATGAAACCACTAATTGCACCTTTTCTCAGGGATTTGTACATCGGGGATGCAACTGCTGCCATGCTCATCGGAATTCTCTTTTTCATCATCCCTGCTAAACCGAATTTCTGGTGCTTCCGACAACTATCAGGTAACCAAGGACATTTTTCCACCTCACTAACCTTTAATTCCCTTTGGCATCGCATTTTTGTAAGGAGAATATGCAGTATAGGCTCAGTTACATGGAGCGGTCTTTCAAGAGTTTTATGACCTCATAAGAGCTGTATTTGGCAGCACCAGACACTACAGCCATATCTTCGTGCAGCTTACACCGTTAATCGGAATGTTTAATTCACCATAGTATGTATACAATTATTCATAAAATAAATGGCTTTTTGAATGGGTGTGCCGTCAAGTGATGCCAAGGGATTAACATTTTCAGCCCAGGCGATTTCAATGCTCTACTTGATTCGCCCATATCACGATGACACGGGACGTAAGTGTCAATGCCTTTGGCTCATGCGATTTCTCTGGATAAAGAATTTCCTTCATTCTAGATAAACCGTCGGAACGAAGCACGGCCCTCCTGAATTGGAGAATCCTCCATGAAAAAATCCCCTGGGCGTTGCTCCTCCTGGTTGGAGGGGGTTTTGCGATGGCGGAGGCCTCTGAGACATCCTGCTTGTCCTATTTCCTAGGTCAGCAGATGGGAAGTCTGGATTTCATGTCCCCAGCACTCCTCGTCTTCATCGTCACTCTCATGTCGGCCATGATAACGGAAGTGGCTTCTAACACTGCCACTGCTACAATCCTCATTCCCGTCCTTGCCCAACTTGTACGCTGCTGTGTACCACTTCCATTTATTTTCATGACCAGATGGCAATCCGTCTGCAACAGCAGTCTTTCCAACACTGTTTGTTTTATTTTCCTTGCAATGTATTCTCCATATGTTGAATGCATAACAGTCCTAAAAAATGTTTCAGAAAAGCCCGCAGCTAAATCCTCCTTAATGACATTTTTCTTTGTTTCACATGTCCTTATATAGGCGAGTGTGGTGAAGGTGAATCCACTGTACCTGATGATGCCAGCGACTGTGGCTTGCTCATACGCTTTCATGCTCCCAGTAGCAACTGCTCCTAATGCCATAGTCCACGAGGCCACCCAGATGAAAACTACTAGCATGGTACACCACGGCAGCTTAATATTTCTATGGCTTCTTGCGATCGGATAATTCTTTTCTCATGAGATTCCTTGGGATATAGATGAAGGCCGGGTTTGTCATGAACGTGATCTGCGTGGCGGTTATCAACCTGATGATCAACACGTTAGGGCGTGGGATCTTCGACTTTTCGAAATTCCCCGATTGGGCAGAAAATGCGACCCTCTCCAGTTCCTCATTTCACTGCAACTACACTCTCTCCTAGCACTTTCCAGACATTTTCATCCGCTACCACTTGCCTTATATTGTCTTTTCTTTAATTGGTGCATTTTCCAACGGCTCCATACACAGTGTGGAGCAGCTTTTGCGTCACGGACTTGTAAGTGGAAGCGTTGCATCCAACAGTCTAGTGATTATTCATTCTGGTTGGGAATAGAAGGGAAACAGGACTCGAACTTGGAATACTGTGGCGTCTGAATTCTCAGAATAAAAGCAGATAAAATGCGAATGGAACAGCGTTTCATTGATGATGTCTATAGTTTCCTCATTTTCTTTTTGCATTCAGGCTGAATGAAACTTTGAAATCTTGGAAACCGTGAAATATTTAATTAAGTTATGATTTGTTATACCGGAATAGTTCTGGTTAATCCTCCTGCACACGAAGAGAGAGGACTTTCCTTTTAAAGTTACCTTCGATAGTCACATGATGGTGAAGTTTAGATGGACTCGTCGTTCTTCCTCCCCTCTTGGTAATTTTAACTTCTTTCCTTGCCCAAACGAAGTTCCTCCTTCTTTATGTTTTAGCTCACTGGACTGTCACCGTGAAGTGGTAGTCCATGAGATGCCACGTCTGCGGATTTTCAGTCAGTCAAAAATAAAAACATGTTGAGATGTTGTCTCCACCCACAAAATTTTTTAAATAAAAATGAAAATAAATAAAAACTACATCAACTCTAAAAAGAAATGCATAGTTAAATTAACATTATATTGTAAGTACAGTTTAGTGAAGTTATGATATGTAGCTCTTAATTCAATTAGGGCGATGCGAACCCAAGTGTTGAGACCATTTTACTCTTGAAAATACATCATCTGTAGCCGCTTCTGCATGGATTGAAGTTTTACTTAAAACCCTGGTAAAGGTGGATTCCATTCTTTCAATGAAACTCTGTGCAATATCGCGTAATGTTAAAAGGGCTATATAAAAGGGCTAGCTTCTCCTCAATGGGTAGGCAGTTGTTGTGGTGCTGTATAGCCATCAAGGATGCCGAGATTCTCAGAGGCGGATTGCAATAATGCTATTAGGAGATTGGAATCTGGTGAATCACAGTCATCGGCTGCAAGACATTTTAAAGTGCTCAAGAATACCGTCTCAGGGCATGGGACCGGTTTCAGCAACATTATTCAACGCCTGACCGTTCACGCTCTGGTAGATCAAGCATCACCACCCCTGCTCAAGATTCGAGTCAGACACCTGTGGGATCAGTTTGCTACTGCAACCTTTACAGCAGCAGCAGTGCCTGGAGGGAGGAAAATTTCGGCGCAAACCATCCGCAAACCTTATGTGCAGCAGATTTGGGATCACGACATATGCGGGTTTGTACTGCAAGACCAGAACAGGCAACTTTGTTTATAGTGGTGTCACAGGCATAGGGTATGTTCTCAAATTCTTTGGAAAACAGTCATATTCAGTGATAAGTCACGGTTTTTTCCTGGAGGTACTGATGGTCGCACTAGAACTACGCAATGTCACTATGCGTTTCTTTTTTGAGTGAGTATAGTTCGACCAACAAGACCAGTTAAGAAATTAACCGTCTTTCAATGACTTTTCAGGAGGATATGGTAAGTACGTGGGGGGAAGGTAAGAAAGGGTGAGAGATGTATCCAGTTGAAGTCACGTAGGTCTTCTTCCCCATTTTCACTCACACAGACACACAATCACGAGCACGCACAAGTCTGTGCGAAGCGGGAGGGAAGTCAAAGAGGAAAGAGCTGCGCGCGAGCATTCAAGTTTTCATGCGAATCGGTAATTAAAGCCTCTCATTCTCTATCCCTTTGGAGACAGTAAGCAATCTTGATGTCATTGGATCCGTGAAACATCCCTCTATGGCAGTGTTTCCCAAACTGTGTGTCGCGGCACACTGGTGTGCCACCAGTAAGGCTTAGGTGTGCTGTGAGATTTGAGAGTTTACAAAAAAATCTATAAAAAAAAACTAAAACTTTAAAAACTGAAAAGCAAGAGGGAACGCCATATCTCAATGGAAAACGGAGTTGCACTATCATGGCTCGTATCAAACTGCTGGGTTGTATCGCAACTGGAGGGGCCACATCTTAACGACCTGGGCTTAGCCGAGCTTATCGTCTCGAGGGGGAAATCGGGGAGTTAATAATCCTGCCTCCGGACCATCAGATAGAGCCCTATATCTGAACCTGATATGACATTCTGAAATGGAGTTGCGAAGTCTCGTGTTAGTTTAGCTTCGTTTAGTTTAGTTTGGTTTGGTTTGGTTTAGTTTAGTTTAGACTTTAAAGTTCGTTCGTTTCGGTTTATTTTGTTTTGGTTCACAATATCCTAACAATGAAGTGAACTCTTTCTGGGCGGGGGGCACCTATACTGAGCCCCTTGCGAGCCGGCAGGAATTAGCGCCGCGCCTTATCTCAGTGGCCCCTCCAGTTGCGGCTGTGTTCAGCGAAGCAAGCGCAAGTTTCCCATTGAAAATAAGTAAATGGCTAGGTGTGCCGTGGAAAGTTCAAGTGTCCTTATGTGTGCCGCAAATAAAAAAAGATTGGGAACCACTGCTCTATGGGATAGGCACAAAAAAAAATCCTGCATTCTTGGCCGGTGAGAAGAGAAAATTGACCCGGAATGGAAGAAATGACCTAAATTGTCAAAAGAGGCCGCAGGAAAAATCGATAGGCTCCTAGGATAATGAACGGATTCTATTGAAAATTGGCACGAAGCTGATTAAGAGACTTTTAAAGGGATCTGCATCACGTCCATTCCATCAAAAGTGGATTTTTCAGGCGGATCATCGAACACTGAGGGGGAACGGTAGGAGGAAACCAGGCGCAACTCGGCAAAAAGATGGATCATATTAGCCTCCAAAAACTGGAGCATGCTATTGCCGATATAAAATTTCTACCAGGAATGAGAGCGAAAAAAAACTGAATCCGAAAACTGAACAGTTCTCAGTTATGGCGCCACGGCGTCTCGGGAACAACAGTTGCATACGTGTATTCATTTTTTTCCATTTAGCGCTGTATGTCCCAAGGAGAAGGGTGCAAATCTGACGTTTCTGCGACCAAGTGTTGCGGAGATGGAGATTTTCAAAGAGAAGCATGCAAATTTTTACCTTTGATCACAGATCGTGACCTAAGTGACCGGAGTGACCTGAGAGGGTCAGCGATCGGCTCCAAGGCCCTTTCTTGAGGTCCCTTACAACAATTATAGAGCAGAATTTCGATTCAGGGGGGTCGATTTTCATGTTCCCGTAGTACCTTAAACGTATATTTCCTAATGGCAGCATGGTCACAGAAATCAATAGTTTAAAGTTATTCGATTGTCCCTTTAAAATGTTTCTGGAAAGTGCTAGCCCCTTCACTTGCGGTTTGCAGACTGTTGTCAATTTTGGCATGAAAGTCAAGATGGGGGAATATGGCCATATGGACAGGCGTTTCTTCCTTGGATCATAACTCATTTGTAGTCTAGGAACCATGCTGTCTGTGCACAATCTGCGTTTCTTGAAGTAGAGGAGGAGGCAATATACCATTCTCCTGCGACCCTTTTTCGCAAGGCATATTTATTTATAAAGTCTAAATGCATCGCCCATATCTTTGAACTCATATTCGTATACGCGAAACTACAGTAGATGAAGGCAGAACAAAGAGACAGTCGCGGCTGATCTCAAAGGTATGTGGGGTATGATTGTTATAAAGAGGAAGAATTCAAGTGCAATGATCGGACCTGAAGATGTATGTCTGGACGCAAGCGAGATATCAGCCCTGATTTTTATCTGCCATTCCAAAAGTGACCAATGGGAAAATGGAAGATATTGTGGCTGGCCGGTCCTGTTTTCTATCCTGTTTTCATTTCGACTGACTGCAGTAGCTGTTGGAACCAGAGAAGAGTCATCCCCTGACTATTTACCGGATGGGCCATAAAAAGTCATACTACTTGTAACTTTTCTATTTATGCACGTTTGAAAACAGCAAAGAAAAAAATATTGTGCACCTCCATAAGAGCGTCTCTTTGGGGGTCAACCTTGGCTATTTCAACATGAAGCCTGTTCTGCCTAGAAATCGCCTGAGGTTCAAAAAATTCTCTGGCTGACCATAAGGCAGAAATGATCAAAGAATATAGATACGAATGACCCCCATACAACCCTGACCGTAACCAAACGGATTACTGTATGATGATGTCTGCTGGAAGGAAGTGCCCATAAACGAAACCCAGCGACCTGAACCAGTTAAGGTTCGTGCTGAAAGAGGAGTGAAACGATATCCGTCCAGTGCGATCGACTGACATTCTCAGAGATTCCGGGTTGTCATCAAACGGAGCCACATCGAACATATACGAGCTGTGAATAGTTACTGTGAGCCCTTGTGTCTTATTGATATTCAATCGATTCCACGATAAGTTATTAGTACAGGAATACAATACTTCGATTTAGTGTGAATATTTATGGCCCACCCTGTATGCAGGTCATCGACTTGACTATGTCAAGAATGACAGTTTTGGCATGCTGAAAAGTTGGATGGCTGCGAAATAGCGAAGGGAGGTAACCCCAATGTCATGGTGGTCAGTGAAATGACTGATTTGTAACTAAGCAGGTTCTCCAAGTTTTGTTTTCAGTCGGGAAGCGAGTAACTTAATAGTAAATTGAGAATATGAAAAAACCCCTCAGTTTGGTTCTCGACCAAAGTGCACGTTTAGCCACCTCATCCCACTTGCGTTGAATCAACTCCAAACACCCGTGTTCACTCCACGAGACATCGACTCATTTCTGGCCAGATTAGGCCTTTAAACGAAAAACTACGCTCGAGTAGAATCCACAGTGATATCAAGACGTACCTTCTCACACTTCTCTCTAAAAGCCCCTTTAGTTAAAGGACCGTTAGTTAGTGGAAGGTTAAATGAGGTTTGTGCATTTCAATATAAAGAGCGTTTTAACAAACGCTCTGTTTTCTCCTTAAAGGACCGCTAACAAAAGGACGTTTCAGCATTCTGGTCTTGGGAGAGCACACGCGATCGCGTTGTGTGCAAGAGTG